GCGTATTTTCAGCCATGGGCGCTTACTTCTCTCCCATGTCTGAAGCCGTCTCTCCGCACAGACTACACGTGCGCTCCTTTGCGTTGGGCTATGGAGCCAACTAGGATTGGTGAAGGATCGCGACATTCACTCAACTGCTAGCTTGCCTGATATCGAAGCTGAGGAGGAGCTGCAGGATGGGTGGGATAGTATTGTACTAGGGTAATTTATATGATGTATTCTCGTTGCATACATTCAGTTCTGCGGGTACATGTATACCCACCATACCCTTGACCCACGCTGTACCCCTCCAGCTACCCATACCCCCCAAGACCCATGGGTATAAGGGTAAGGTATGGCTCACGCACTTTCCACTAACGTGTGATGGCATGTGACCCGATGTGACTAGCTGTGACCTGAAACACTAGATGATCATCCTGGACGAGAACACACTCGAATGAAGTAGAAGCAAAATAAGAACATGGGACACATCAGAACTAGTACAATTATGTAGTGTATGAGTTGTGTAGACTATTAAACAGTGAATTATCAATTAGAAATAAGTGAAATACTTAGTCAGAGTCCAGCGTTCTCGAGTTCTGCCAGAATGGAATTAGGGAGGACTTGATATCCTTTATATATCTTAGTGGCCCAGGCAGCTTGCTTTCCTGTTAGACCTTTGTGATATCCATCCATAAATCTATGAGATCGGCATGCATATCTGAATGATCTCAGGTGAGATAAAGCAAATGAAAATGAAAAATTCAACTCACTTGTGCATTTGCTCAACGCTGACTGATGTAAGCACATCAACGAAATTTCTGCATATCCACCAAGGTTCTTCAGGTGTTTCAGTGCATGTTTGGGCATTGTGCCGTGGTAGTTTGAGAATGTTGTACCAATTTTGTGTTCCCCCTTAGTTTTGTCACGCAACAACAAGGCTCAAAAGGGCTCATAACATTCGTTTTCTTAATGGCACTTTCAATTTCAATTTTTTCAAAAATCCAGCCGCGCAGCGTTGTGTGCAGTGTAAATACAAAGAACCCTGCGCGATTTCTTTTTGCAAAATAGGTGTTTTACAACTGCCATTGACATTTCAAACAAAAGTAATGCTTTGTCACATTTCATTAGCGGGAAGCGCGTGGGCCATACCTTACAGGTATCTTGCGGGTATGGGTACAGGTCGGTGGCTGCGCACCCGTGGGTTTACCCCTGCTGATCCCTAATCACATGATGATGATGTGAACAATTTATTTCATAACTCTTTCACTGGAGATAGCAATCATGAATCTGGTGTCGACACGTCTCCATCCACATCACCCACCAGTGGTACCTTGGATGAACTTACCCATGTCTCCGCATTTACAGATGATATGTAGGATCCTGCCATTTGTGCTCTTAGTAAGTTTAATAGAGTTGCCTGATGAACACATGCTCACTTCGCCTTCTGCAGCTTTTGACATTTTGCAGCACCCAGTATTACCTGCCCCGCCTCAACTCTCTTTTGAGAATTCTGACTGTACACTGACCCATCTCCAATGCCACATACCACATCCTCAGCCACAACCTTTCACAACTTCGAGTGCACTTTATGGGGGTGTCCTTGTCCCTGCAACCAATCACAAGTGCAACTGCACTTCAACTGATGCTGTTTTGTCAGATGAACGATGCCCTAAATGTGCTCGCAAGCTCACAGAAAAGGCTCAGCAGTTACAACCTGGCTTGAGTGAGAAACGTGGCCAGCACACTGGGAAAGGGCTCCAGCAGGGGAAAAGAGCAAGAAGAGCAAGGCTATTGTTGAATCAGACCAGGACAACATCTAACTTACACTTACTATGTTGTAGATAGGGATCCGCACGGGTGAACCCCCGGGTGTCGGCAGGTCAACCCACACCCGCACCCTGAGGTAAACCCACACCCGCAGCAAGGGTACAGGTTGCACAGTGGGTAGCGAAGTAAGGACCCAGGGTACAACCCATCAAGGGTGTACCTGCGGGTCATAGATCCGCCAGTGCTTAGCACATATGTCCAGCACACGTCAGCGAATGCTGACGTGACTTGAACATATGTGGATGGCACAAGAAGGAGGAGGGGCGCACGCTGGGCATTCGCGCATGGCATCCGTCGCATTGGGAATGGCATAGTGGTCATTGGTGATGGTGTCGCTGGGGTATGCGCTAGTGCCAGCATGAATGACAAAGATGGTGGTGCAAATGATGGCGAAGGTGACGCGGATGGTGGTGTTGGCGTCGTGGATGGTGGTGTTGGCGTGAAAGCTGGTGGTGGTGCGAGTGCTGGGCGCACAAAGATAGGCGCCAGCAACGTGACGCGTATGACATTGTTGTTGTTGCTGGGGGTAGAGTCTTCAATGTGAGTACTCACTTCCAGCGTGCCCAAAGTCTCGTCTCCTCGAGTTCCTCTTTCCTCCTTCATCTCTATACCATCCCTTCTCCCTTCTTCGATTCTCTTGTCCTTTCGTCTTCACGTGTCATCCGCGTGCATTTGCATCGTGTCAACACTTGTTGATGCGTTTTGGGCACGCGCGCTGTGAACATGGAGTTGGTGGACTTGGGAAGGCGCGTTAGGTGCCGGTGTTGGTGGTGGTGCCAGTTGTAGTGTGCACGTGGGAATGCTGGGTGCGAAGATGTTGATAGTGGCGTGGTGAGCGAAGACATTGATGATGGTTGCAGTTGAGGAGTGTGCGAGGACGAGAGGTAAAATTACCGAAGGCACAGGTATAGCTGGGGTACGGGTAAGAGCGCGGGTCTTAGAATCCCGACCCGTACCCGTACCCCAGTAGTACCCATACCTGTGACCCGCGCAGGTTACCCGTACCCGTGCAGATCCCTAGTTGTAGAATAGTTGATCTCAATATATTTACATATGTCACCTTCCTCATGTGCAAGAACATATAAGCAACAAAAACATATGAGAACATTGAATAATTCAGTCAAAAAAGCAGTCTAAGGCTTGTACATCACACTACTTCATGATATATAGAAAAAATGCTGATAGAACATGGTATTTGGACTATATATATGAGCTCACTGTTGTTGATGACGAGCAGACAGGTGGCGGCATTGTGCCCATTATGGGAGGTGAAGGAGTTGCCCAAATGGTTGATGAAGTAACCACTGGCAGCACCTGCATGTGTGCACTGGTGGTGCTCCATACGAACGAGTTTAGGCTTTATTAAGTGTTACTAAGATTGTCATAAGGCCAGTCATCACGAAAACTTCAAAAACCTGGTATTGCCTGATTAGGCTGATGCTGACAAATTGTTTTGGATCATGACTGACGTCGTTTGCGAAGGTGATATAATCGATGACGTGGAGTATCCTGTACATTGTATGTATCCGCTACTCAAACAATAATGTAACCATACTCTGCTATACTGCTATCAGTCTGGATGCCACCTGACATTCCCTGCCATTGTTACATGTTCTTTGCCCTCTGTCCTGTTTGAATGCAAGCTGTCCGAGTCCGAATCAACAGGTGTCTTTGCAGGTGTTTCTGGTATCATGTCCACGGCACAATTCTCGATCGTCGTATGTATAGATACTTTTACCAGTTGTATATCATTATGATATTCACTAAAATACAAAAGGACTGGACCGAAAATCATAATGCACCATACCCCTCCTGTTCGAGCAAGTCGTCATCAAGCTCCTCATCTTCATCAGCTACAATCATATCTTCCAGCTCATCATTGGTATGGTCTTCATCCTCACTGCCCTCGCTGTTCTCGTCTTCCTCATCAAACTCTTCCTCACTCCCCAAAGGTTGATCCGACTCTCCGAAATTAACTTCTTCATTCTCATCGGCATTCTCCACAGCGCCATCACTCCGCAGATGTTCATACAGCTCTTTCGTCATCTTGTGGCCCACCCCACCTCCTCGGAAACGCATGAACATGTCACGATCTACGAAACTAAAGAGAAAGTTAGCATTTATTAGTAGTAGCATAGACAATACATACTGATTCACGTAAAAATACATGAAGTCCATGTCCTTGTCTTCGGGTGGACGGACAAATGAAGGTCCGAGTCGAGTGTCAGTCCGTCCATATGCAAATCCGGGAATTAAATGAACTCCCCGGATCACTTGATCGGGATCAACGAAACCAAAGCTGTCAGGATCGTCTCGACTAAAAAATCCAATGCGATGGAGTCGTTTGGCAGACCATCCGGCTTTGAAGGGAACATCTCGCCCGAACCAACGCACAAATAACACGTGCATGCGAGTAGGTGCAACTTGGGAAACACCTGGACCGTAGTCCCACACATTGACATGGAATATTTTGATAATGCGGGCGTACCAATAGGGGTGTCGGTCCTCATCGCTCTCATGTGACAACATCATGATGTCAGCATGAGTTCGTGGATTCATTGAATCTTGCTCTCAGCGAAGGTTGTAGGTTGTATAGTTGATGCGCAGGATACTGTGTTCGTAGAGTTGATTGTTAGCAAGAATGACCTGGCTTCTGTCCTCATTGGAGAATTCATCTTCATCCCCAGAGTACTCAAGACCGCACAATCTTGCTAATAGATGGTTCTTCAATCTTGGAATGAAGTCCTATGACGTCATGTTCACTATCAACAGATGTAAAAATACAATGAACTACTTACCTTAACTGCTGGGTCTTCCATCAGGTCGCCAAGCCATGCAGTCATATCATATGATGCTTTAGGATATTTCGAAATGTGATAGTGTGCGGCAGGTGATGTCCGTTCGCGTGGTATGCTGGGTGCCTTGAGTAACTCCTCGCGTCATTGGTTAATCCGTGCAATGACCCGTTCGCGGGCTTCAAGGTGGGTCATTGTAGTGACCATGGTCATCTTATTCTTGGCTGTCCTAGGATACCAGCGCTTGGCTCGCCGGTGTTCGAGTTCTCCCTGAAAATAGGATGTCAGATAGTCAACAGTTTGATTTGAGATAAACTTACCAGCTGTGTTGAAAAACTGTCTGTAGTACCAAAATGTCGAATTGTGTTAGGATAATGTCCAAGAGCATGGAATTTATAAGTTGACAAATTGAGGGCCTTGAACTTGGGACTGGACTTCTGCTTCCCTTTACCTGAAGATGAAGGTTGTTTGGCTGCTAATGCAGCCTCTCGACGTCCTCGTGCTGCATACTCATGAGGGAGTTCTGTTGTATGGTAGTAGCTACACGTAGTCTTGAAGAATTTTCGGACAGATTGGCCTAAGACCGTGGTTGCAGTATCAAATAATGTGAGTGTGTCTTCTGTGTGCATTCGAAGTTTGGCGTATGCGTGCCAAACAGAGAGGTCGAATAGAAGGTTGAGCACAATCTTATTATGGTCGTCTGGCAATAGCTTCTCAAAGACAGGAATAGCGCACTGGAGAAGTTAAAAATAAATAAACAACGATCATTAAAGTTGACTTACTTGTAATAGGTCCTCAAAGTCACGGGCTGCGAGTTTTTTCATGGCAGAGGCATTGTTGTGGAAGCGACGAATAGTTCCCCTGCCAAATGTGGGTACTTTTCGGTATCTAATGTAAAACACTGTGAGCTTGTAAGACCAATGACGTGCCCAAAAATACTACCGTTTGTTGAGATCTGGAATAGCGTTCCCTCCAGCTGCATGGAGTATCCGCATCAAATGAGTGAATTTGGCCTTCCATGCGCCGAGCTCAAACTCATGAAGCTGATCGACGAGAAACATATCAAACATGTTCAATCTGTATTCTGCAAGTCTCTCAGAAAATGCAGACTGAACCCATGTATTAGTGAAAGAAACATAGAATATGTAGAGTTGCTTACATGAATTGGAACATACGAAGCTTCATCGAGAATTGCTTTGACACGGCTCCCATTCACAGGGACTCCAAGTCGAAAAATTAAAACACGGGCTTCTTCAACACTGCGCCGTCGTCGGAAGTCATCAATGCGTCTGTTAGTCACATGATGCTTCATGTTGAGTTTCATGCCCATCTTGTAGACATCTGCCTTCTTGACCAGGCAGCGTGGACAGAGGCACCCTCCGAGAAACTTTATAGTAGCAAGTAGAACTCTGCGCAGTGCAAAACATGTTAATGCCTCATGTCCGATCACATGTAAAACGACATGTGTACTTACTTCTCAGGATAGTCCGCCGAATATGAAAAGAATCGTGGAAATACTCTTCATGTGATCCCATCAGAGCACCGGATCACTATTCCATGTTTGTATGCTTCCATAAACTTACCATCCAGAAGTAATTGCCATATTGCTTGCATCAACTCGCGTTTCAGATGTGTGTGAACATCACTCGATGTAGCCTCGCCGAAGATATCCATGTAGATTTCTTGTAGATTATTCAGAAGCTGAAGCAAACATAGTAAGATACCGATATTAATGAAAATGAGTGATACATACTGTCGGAATATATGCCAAATGATGTGAAGCACGGGCTGTCGGCTTGCCTCGTGTATACTTGGACTGATTCCCAAAAAAAACGTAAAATGGCCAGAGGGAGGCGTCCCCAAAGTTTGCCAGGTGCGTAGCATCCGACCACACCATGAGCGAGGCAACGACACGCTCAAGGTCATCTCCAGGGTCATGAGGGAGCGCATTGACCTCTGTGTAAGCTTCTATCAGTGCAGGGGATGCATATGCCTCCGAGGAAACTTTGATCGTACGATCATCAGGCATGGTCCAGAACTGTTCGAATGGTGTCATATTGAATGACTGTGAGACATCACTTTCAAACACGTGTGTGATGATGTCAGTCAAAGAACGATGATGAACGCCTGGGATCTCGAGTTCAGGAGCATCGGCTTCTGATGGAAACTTCATCTTCTCCTTTGGTGACCGGATCTTGACGGTAGATCGGCGCCATCCATATTCTTCTCGAAAGGGGTTAGACTTATCTTCAATGTACTTGTCCAACAGCTTCATTTCACGCGTGAAATTAAATCCACTCAGGTGAGTGAGGGAGCAACAAGGATCTGAACTAAGGTAGTCTGCAAGACGATTGACATTGGCCCCTGAATTGCTATTGGTCCCAGAGTAATGCCACGCCATCAGGACTCCAGAGGTGTGGTTCGAGAACCCATCAAACAAGTGCTTAGCACTGATTTCGGGCGTGGAGAGACCAGGGTGCACTCCGTGAGCTGCACCTTGCTCATTGTCCAGGGTTGGGGCATCCGTCACTCTCTCTAAGGTTAAGTTACCCTCAGGAGCTAAAGTGGGACGCGTTGGGTACACGCAGTAAAGTCCCATTGCATCAGGTTCAGTCCGGAATGGGATGGGCGCAGGGCGGGGATCTTCTGGATCAGAAGTAGGGGCTGGAGATGGAGATGGTGCTCGATCATGATCGGATTGATCTGCCAGAACATGGCCACGTTGCTGCCGGTTAGTGGGAGGCATGTGAGCCAGGTGCATAGCTGATCCTGGAAGGTAGTCGATAAAGCGCCGAGGCATGCGCACTGTGCGTCCAGAGCGCTTTGAAGTGACTGGGGGAGGAGGTGAGGGTGAGGGTATGTTTGATGGACCTGCAGTATCCTCGAGCTGGTAACATCAGTACCGAAGTTAATCATCTTTCAAGCGAATGAAAATATGTACCTGTTCAAAATTGACACCATCACCCGAGATATCCATTGGAGCTTGATAGTCAAGGGCTCCACGTTGGTCGTCCATACCTTGCTCAATTATTTCCTCCCGCTCAATGCGTGTCCGCTTGGAATTCTTGCCGGACTTATTTGACTTTTGACGTTTCTTGGCGCTGAATGTGGAACTCGTGAGATTGAGCGCCTGGTTTTTTGAGCATCGTGAACCATGCGCAGATAGTTGTTTCTGGGTAGGAAAAGGTTTACCGCAGCCCAGACATGTCAAGTCTGGCATTGGAGAAGTGTGGTTCTGCAAGTAAGATATCAGAGCGCACTTTATATCACTCACTATGACCTTGGTTCTCATGATCAATCCACGCAGTAAAGCACAGAAGGTAAAGTCAAATTAACACAATGTAACTATGATTACATGCGAGGATATCATGATACGAATCTAAGAGAGATACGGCAGATTAGTTGGTGTGTTAACAAATAAGAAAAGGAGGGACTCGCGTTCACAAGCCTTTCTTCCAAACTTCCGGTCCTCTGAATCCTCAAATCCTTACATAGGCAGCAGCTTGTCCTGTACTGAGGTGTTCAAGTATAAACCTATCTGGAATTAGGATGACAAGGTAGTCAGGACTCAGAACTTACTGTTAGCACATGGATGATACGAATACGATCAAGATCATAGGAATCAGGATATGAACTTGCACACACAGCGCAGATTGATCAGATTCAAGCTCCGAAACAACAAACATAAACAATGACCTCAAGGATATTTCGATGTCAGACGATTGATCTTGATCTTGCTCTCCCCATAATCAACAACCGTATCAACATTTGTAACAAGTTCTATCGTAGTATCATGCCTCAGAAACGATGCGCCATATGGAGCAGTGCATCTGAAGACAGTAGCAACTCTGACTCTTCTCTCTCTGGAAATGAGTCCTCACATTCATCTCCGACTCCGATCATCAAAAGTAAGGCGCAAAAGGCTTCTGATAAAGGCAAACAGCCTCAGAAAAAGTCATTGAAGTAGGTTCTAAGCATTACCTGATCAGATCATTACCATTAACAGCGCATATATTCACAGAAAACCAAATAGGAGTCGTGATAGCGAAAGGTATTTTCATTTTCATTTAGTTATTTGAATTCATAATGATGCATTACTAGGGACCAATGCCTACACGTTGCACGTTGGATTCCACGTGCAATCGACATGTATGTTGTCCTCAAGGACACTTTTAGAATCGGTATCCTCCTTGAGCAGGAAGAATCTGCCAAGGACGGAACTTTGATCGAGGATGATGCTGCCAAGAAGGAGCGCCAGGAGACCCTTGAACATGTGTAAGTCCGGAGTTTGCTTTCTCATCATAGATAACACTTTTGCAGGAAAAAAGATGTACAAGAGCGTTCCTTGAGGACCTACAAAAGGATCCTCACAAGCGCGCCCTACCTCCGCACCCTCATTAAGGGAAACACAAAGAAGCATCGAAAGGAGCTGGGACATATATTATCGGAGGTGCGCAGACTAACCCAAGTAGTCTGCAGAACTGTCAGTGCTGACTCCATGAGAAGATGCAGGACATCATTGGGCAAATCCGCTCTGAAGACGCAACCACCCACTGACACCCGCGATTTACTCTGACAACCAGAAGTCGCGTGCTATGATGGGCGTGAATCATCCCCAACTCGCCGCTATGCTCTGTCCGATCAAACACCTTGCAGCCTATCGCGAGAATCCCAAGAAGTATGTATACAGTATTTACTCAGTGTGCTGCCTTTCTCACTATTTTTCAGGATTCAGGGAGAGTTGCAAAGCGGCCATATCAAGATGCATGCAGCTGCATGGCCCGCATTTGCATATGAGGGCGACTCACCTGGAGAAGATTTCAATCCGCTCGATATGCAGAATGGCATTTTCAAAGGCTATCTTATGAAACGGGTATGTCAATCAATATTTTGTTTTCCTGACGCTCTCTTAACTCTGCCATAGGTCTTTCAGCACATATTCAAGGGCCCTTCCTCCGCTCTGGCCAATGATGGAGAGGTTGTTACAACTCGCTCTGGTTAACGCAAAGCTTCCAACATGCTGAAGGTGGATGCTGGAACATGTGGCCTATACATTCGTTCAGGTATGTGTCTTTAAACATGTTTTTAAACACATCTTACAACTCAATTTCCAGTGCCGTTTCAGTATTTCATCACGTGACAAATGGCAAGCTATGGACGGTAAATACGACTATCATGAGGCCTACTACCGAATCATCCGAGCCATCCCAAGAGCCATTCGATCAGACATGGGCGGATTCATTACTGAGTGGTGGAATATGTATGTATTATTTGTATTGATCCATCACGCGTTGCTGACTTCTCGCAAAGGTCTGTATTTTGGCGACAAGGCGGGTATACTGGTCTTTGACGTTAGCGATTGATGACGACAAGGAAGAAGATGATTTGATCAGCATGCGAAAACAGTTTGCAAGTCGCGCTGCTGAAGCGCGACTCAAGGTTCGTTATTTTTTTTTAAATGATATTTTGCTAATGTCTATTGCAGTCCATATCTTCAGATGCGCAAGGTAGTACCCTACCTTCCGATCCTGGCTCCGACACATCTGTGATCAATACAACTTCGACTCCTCCACTACACCGCCTCCCATGAAGAACCTGCACCTGTCCCAGCAAAAGCCATCCCCAAGCCGTGTCCTATCATACCAACTTCTCAGCCAGCAGGTGGTGACCCCAAATGTGGATACTGAAGCTCTACCTCGCACCCTCCCTTTGGCACCCATCCATCGGGTTCAGGTACTGGCAATCCACTACCTCACACCCTCCCTTTGGCTCCCGTCCCATCTGGTTCAGGCACTGGCACCCGAAATCTAAGAAGCGTGGCAGGACTAATGTGATGGAGTCCGATGATGAGAGCTCACTGACAGAAAACGATTCAGATGTCCCTGCCCCATCGAAGCGCACCAGGAAGGGCAAGGGCAAGGCTACCACACCACCACCACCAGCAAGAGGAAGCAAGGGCCGGAAGGAGACTTAGTACGTGCTTGATGTTCCTTGGGTATATTGACTGACTATGTGGTTTTTAGCACCGCGGCATCCCATTCCTGTTTCTCTCGCTATCATCGCATCACAGCTTCAAAT